TAGGCCTAGTATCAGATACTAGGCCAGACTGTCAATAAGGAGTACTACCAAGAAGTCCTCCGCCATCTAAATGATGCAGTTCGGCACAAGAGACCGGAGCTGTGGGACGCACGCAACTAGCAGTTGCATCATGACAACGCCCCAGCTCATTCATCACACCTGATCCAGGGTTTCCTGGCCAAGCATGGCATTCCGCAGGTTCGCCAGGCTCCCTACTCTCCTGATATGGGTCCTTGTGATTTCTGGCTGTTCCCGAGATTGAAGACACCGCTAAAAGGCTGCTGTTTTGACAGCTGCGAGGACATCATACAGAACGCAACCGTGCAGCTGCATGCCATTTCAAAAGAAGCCTTCCAGAATTGCTTCCAGCAATGGAAGGACCGCTGGGCTAAGTGTGTGGAGTCACAAGGGGCCTACTTTGAAGGCGATTTGGTATTGTAACCACCCAGATACAGAACTTTTTTCCTGGCCCAAGGTCGGATACTTTTTGGACAGAGTAGTATATATATTATTTTTTCAAACACCTTGGAAAATGAAGTTAACAATGAAATTGGTCTATAATTTGCACAGTTCTTCTTATCACCTTTCTTGTATATAGGAGTTACAATCGAGTATTTCATACGTAAGGGGAATTTATCAGCTAAGACTGCTTTATTGGATATATAACATAAAGGGAAAGAAATGTATGGGGCACTAATTTTTACTGTCTTCATCAAAATATCATCATATCCAGAAAAATGTTTAATGCAAAGAAGAAACAACTTTTTCAATTTTTTTAGTTATTTTTGTGAATATTGGGAAAGGGACCCTTAGCTGTCAAGTTCAGATAATGTTTATAATTATTATTATCAGTATTTAAAGTAATTTGAGAATTTTTTTTGTAATATTATCAGCAATATTTAAAAAATGATTATTGAATATACTTGGATTTATTTTCTCAGTTTTACAGTTTTGTCCTTCAGACAGTTTTTACCTAACTCCGTTTTAATAATATTCCAAGTAGTTTTAATAGTATTACTGGAGTTGGTAATTATATCTTTATAGCTGAGTCTTTTTGCCTCATTAATCACCTTAGTCAGGATCTTACTATATGATTTATAATACTGCTTTATATTGTTATCAAGTATCTTTGTCAAAAGGTACAGTTCTTTTTTCTTTTGCAAGAAGTTTTAATTCTGATGGTTAACCATTGTTTACTGGGAGATTGCTCATAGATTTTCATAACTTTATCTAAGTTTAAATTCATCTAGTGGGAATTTATTAAATATCCATATAGTTTTATGATTTGGGTTAGCACTTCCACAATAGAACTCTTGTTGACGTAAAGCCAATAATTGCCCATGATGGTCAGATAAACCATTAAATACTGGAAGAATAATATAATTTTCAAATTTAGTTATATCTATAAAGATACTGTCTATTAATGTTTGAGTTGTAGTGCTAATCCTAGCTGGGAAATGACCCACACTATATAAATTGAAAGACTGCAGCATACAGTTCAATTGTTGCTTCTTGTTATTGTCTACAAAATAATTTATATTAAAATCACCACAAACTAGCATCTGTAAGTTTGGTTTATAAATTTTTTTGATAACAGTTTCTAATTGGATAATAAATAAAGGAAAATTACTGGACAGAGACCTATAAATAGCTAAAATACAAATACTAGATAAAAATTTGCATTTTACAGCACATGCCTCCATAGCTTTGTCTATACATAATTTTCATATATTAACAGCTTCAAAATCCAGTGAGTTATGTACATATATACAAACGCCTCCCATAATGAAAGACTCCCTACAATACCTAGTTCCTAAATTATAATTAGTTATAGTCAAATTTTCAATTTGTGAATAATTTAAATTATGTTCTGTAAAGCAGAGTATTTGTGGAAATTCTGGATGTAGGTGAGCGTAAATTTCACTGGTCTTATTTAACAGGCCACAAATATTTTGATGGTAAATTTTAGAACCATTATTATTAAAATTTTCCTTATGAATTTGATTTGTTTCATTCTGGTCCATCACATTAACAATTACAAATGTCACACTGGACAGAGTGGTTTGTATCTGTTATTTCCTTACGAATATTACAATTGTTTTTGTTTAGTTTTAGGGAATTAAAATGATTTGTCTCTTTCCTACTTTCAGACATCACCAAAAAAATCATTGTGTCTGTTAAGTAGAGATTTTTTAATCTACTTGATCTGCGTAGTGGCTCAGAAGTTTGTGATTGACTTGCCTCCCTTGAGTAATTTTCACAAAAATGATTATTTATGCCAGAGATTGTGGGTCTCATTATTTTCCTTCCAAGGCAAATAAATTGGTTTCATATCTCTGTGGAAGATTTTAGAACAAATCAGAGCAATTTCCTAGCCAATCAGTTTTATTGAAATGGAGCCTATGCCTTGTATACAGAGCTCTACTTAGATCATGGTTTAGTAATGTAACATGTTTAAAAAATTTGATACATTTCTCTAATTTCCTATTATAAACTCTTATCTCATCATTTACACATGCCCAACTTTCCAAATCATACCTAGGCAGTACAGTTAACAAAACAATGTTTGTATGAGAATTTGTTTTGACAAAGTTCAATATACGAGGGGGTACCCAAAAGAAACCGAACTTATTTTTTTTAACTTATTTATTCAAATTTTAAGCACAAACCTTCAATCCCCTTCTAATACTCTCCACTTACACTAATACACTTGTCTAGTCTTTTATTCCATTTTTCAAAACATTGTCTAAATTCATCTTTTGAGATGCTTGACAGCGCCTCCGTCATTTTTTCCTTCACCTCAGCAACATCAGCAAAACGCTTTCCTTTCATGTCTCTTTTCATTCGAGGAAACAAAAAAAAAGTTGCACGGGGCAAGGTCGGGTGAGTATGGAGGGTGAGGAACAGGGGTCATACCATTTTTGGTCAAGAATTGTCATACAGACAGGGCTGTGTGAGCAGGGGCATTGTCATGATGGAAAAACCAGTCACCCGACTGC